CAGGAGGCTTGCTTGCTCCAGTGATGGAGGAAGCCAAGGTTCCCCGCCTGCCACAGCCTGGCTCTGAGCTCCGAAAGCAACAATGTTTCAATTATAGAAGCTAAACAAACCTCAGATACCTGCTTTCAGCTAGCTGGCCTCAGCGAGCAGGACCGCAACAGTGTTTCAATTATAGAAGCTAAACAAACTCCAGATACCTGCTTCCAGCAGCCGAGTTCTCAGAGCTGGAACTGGGCCTCAGAACTAAAGCCGGCTCTCAGCTCCAGTGACAGCTATAGTAGGTAAATAAATCCCAGAATAAAATTTTAAAAAAAAGAAAAAAAGGAGAGGTTGGGAGCTTCAGTCACCCACCAGCCTGAAAACGGCCCTCAGCTCCTAACCCAGACCAGCCAGGCACCCAAGCGGGACCCCCACCCTGATCTGGGACACCTTCAGAGCAAACCAGCTAGCTCCCACCCATGCACCAGGTCTCTATCCTATATAGTAAAAGGGTAATATGCAAACTGACCCTAATAGCAGAATGACTGGGAATGACTGGTCACTATGACACACACTGACCTCCAGGAGCCAGGCACTCAATGCAGAAGCTTCCCTCTGGTGGTCAGGGCGCTCTCACAGGGGGGGAACTCTGCTCAGCCACAAGCCAGGCGGCCAGCTGCCAGTACAGTGGTGGTGGTGGGAGCCTCTCCTGCCTCCTCAGCAGTGATAACGATGTCCGACTGCAGCTTAGGTCTGCTCCCTGATAGCCAGTGGACATCCCCCGAGGGCTGCCAGGCTGCCAGAGGGATGTCTGATTGCCAGCTTAGGCCAAATCCCCCGAGGAGCAGGCCTAAGCCAGCAGGTGGTCATCCCCCAAGGGGCCCCAGACTGCGAGAGGGCACAGGCAGTCTGAGGGACCCCCCACCCTGAGTGCATAAATTTTTGTGCCTGGGGCCTCTAGTAGATACATATCTATCAATGATTACTTTAAATGCAAATGGATTAACTGCTCCAATCAAAAGACGTGGGGGCTTGAATGGATAATAACATAAGACCCTCACAACATGCTATCTATTGGAGACTCATTTCAGATCAAAAGACAAACAGACTGAAAGTAATGAATAAAATGTTTCATGAAAATGGAAATAAAAAGAAAATCCTGGGGTAGCAATACTTATATCATACAAAATAGACTTTTAGACAAAGGCTATAACAAGAGATAAAAAAGGACCCAGGATTCTACTTATTTATCCAAAGATACCCAAAACAGTAAAGCAAAAAGACATATTCATTGATATGTGCATTGCAGCATTATTTACAACTAGAGGCCCAGTGCATGAAATTTGTGCATGGGTAAGGTCCCTAGCAGCTTTTGGCTGCCAACCGGGGCCTCTCTTACTGAAGTTGGCCAGCTGGCCCTGCCCCCTGGTCAAACTCCTGGTCAAGGGGATAATTTGCATATTAGGCTTTTATTATATAGAATAACTAAGACACAGAAGCCATTAAAAAAATGAAATCTTATCATCTGCAACATCGATGAACTTAGAGGTACTATGCTGAGTGAAATAAATGAGACAGAGAAAGACAAATAACGTTTGATTTCACTTATATGTGAAACCTAAAAAAATAAAATAAATGAACAAATGGACCGCATAGATACAGAGAACATTTTGATGGTTGTCAGATGGGAGGGGGCTTTGCAGGATGGGTGAAAAGATTAAGAAGTACAAATTGAGGAAGAATGTGAATCCTGGTGGCCTAGAAACATGAGGGTCAAGTGACACAACCAGCTGACTCCTGTAGAGGAAGACGCTGTGGCTGGGTCTGTGGCAACCAGGACTGCCAGGCCTAGCACCGGAGCCGAACAGTCATCGTAAGAATGTCGGGCAAAGACCGAATTGAAATCTTTCCCTGTCAAATGGCACAGACCATCATGAAGGCTCGATTAAAAGGAGCACAGGCAGGACGAAACCTCCTGAAGAAAAAATCTGATGCTTTAACTCTTCGATTTCTGTAGATCCTAAAGAAGATCATAGAGACTAAAATGTTGATGGGTGAAGTGATGAGAGAAGCTGCCTTTTCATTTCCTGAGGCCCTGTTCACAGCAGAGAACTCAGCACCAGTTATTCAAAATGTAAATAAAGCCCAAGTGAAGATTCAAGCAAAGAAAGATAGTGTAGCAGGTGTTACTTTGCCAGTGTTTGAACATTATCATGAAGGAACTGACAGTTATGAACTGTCTGGTTTAGCCAGAGAAGGGGAACAACGGGCTAAATTAAAGAGAATTATGCTGGAATTCGCCTCGCTGCAGACTTCCTTTGTTACTCAGAATACACGAAGCTGTTAAGATAACAACAGTCATGTAAATGCCATTGAACATGTCATCATTCCCAGGATGGAACATACCCTTGCTTATATCATCACAGAGCTGGATGAGAGAGAGTGAGAAGAGTTCTATAGGTTAATGAAAATACAGGAGGAAAAAAAAGATTCTTAAGGAAAAAACTGAGAGGGACTTGAAGAAAGGGAGGGGAGCTGGAGAGGTGATGGAGCCTGCCAATCTTCTGGCTGAAGAGAAGAATGCGGATCTTCTGTTAGAATAATTTTTCCTGCTCTGCTTCTTTCCGAAGTCCTAAATTTAATGACACCAGTTTAGTTCAGTGTGTAGGTTTGGTTCATGTGGCTATTTATTGTTTGGCCTAATTTCACTGGTGGAAAAATTTCCCTGCATGTCCATTTAACCCAGTGGTTCTCAACCTTCCTAATGCCGTGACCCTTTAATACAGTTCCTCATGTTGTGGTGACCCCCAACCATAAAATTATTTTCGTTGCTACTTCATAACTGTAATTTTGCTACTGCTATGAATCGTAATGTAAATATCTGATATGCTATATGTGTTTTGCGATGATCGCGACCCACAGGTTGAGAACTGCTGAATGGGATTACTTTTGCAGAATCCTAATTTACCAACCATTGATCACAGATGAGATTTAGAGAACCTGCCCAGGAACTTGTAGAATTTATTCTGCAGAAGTGTCTCCCTACCCCAATTATGAATGGTTAAAAGTGATCAGCTTACCAAGCATATTAGGAAATTCCCCTTAGTAACCAGTAGTGGTCTCAGGCCAATATAAGTAGGCCAGCTACTGTAGGAGCACCCTCCATTCCTCCCACTCACACCCCCTGGCGCTGTTATCAGAGGGAGCTGCAGCCATCCTGTGTTTCTGTGGTACTTCTCCAGCTTTAGGAAAGCCTTCACTTAATTTTACTTTGCATGACAGGTCTCTGTTCTCTCTGTCATGGAACAATTTTGCCAATTTGAATGTGACTGTGGTATAAATAGTAAAATGATTTTTTAAAAAAGAAGTTCAAATTGATAGTTACAAAATAATCATGGTGATGTAAAATACAGCATAGGGAATATAGTCAATAATATTGTAATAACTATGTATAGCGTCAGATGGGTACTAGATTTATTGGGGGGCACACTTTGTAAGTTATATAAACATTTAATCACTGGGTTGGACACCTGAAACCCTGAAACTAATATAACATTGCAGGTAAATTGTAATTGAAAAGTAAAAATTATTTCAAAATAAATAAACATACGGTATGGTCTTAACGATTCAAGAAATTATATATATATATATATATATATATATATATATATATATATATTAATAGGTAATTAAAATTTCCTTCTCTAAATGTTGTAATGTCTTCTAATTTTTTACAATAAGCACATATTATTTATAAGCAGTACAAACATTTTCACATATGAAAAAGAAACAATCTCAGTAATACAAAAGCCAAACATGATTGGGGGAGAGGGGAGAACCACAGAAGGATAATGTCAGAAATTCAAAATGGCAACAAAAAATGGGTATTAGGAAGACAGAAAATAACAATAAATGAGGAAAAGGAGAATATACAGGTCTGCAGCATAAGGACAACATTTCAGCAGTGCCTTCAGGGGCCGATGTGTCATGCTAAGGCCACATGGGACACCACACACCTCTGAGATTAACTAATTTTCTTCCTGAAGGAGAAACAATTCAGCTGCCTCCAGTACATCTTCGGACCACATAGAGGTGGCCTTTGGCTTCTCTAGTTTCATTACAATTCAAATGGATAGTTGCGGCTTTAGAAATAGTACAGCCATGTGTTCAGAAAATGAAAGGAAAATGCTTCAACATAGAGAAGCCATATTCCTTAAAATTACTGTACCACTAGAATAATACAGTCAATGAAATTGCAGATCATGTAATAATAACAATCCCAGAAAGTGAATTGATATCACCACAGGATATCATGGAACAATAGAAGTTACCATGTTCAATATCCAACAGTTTAAGAAAGACCATCTGGGGAAAACACAATGGGAGTGGGGAACAAGGAGGAAACAGATCACTGGTTTAGAAAATGAGAATTTCCAGGAGCCAGTAATTAGTGTTTGGGCTATGAAATAAGAGTAAAGGAACTTGTTATAAAAAATGATGGGACAGTAAAGGGAGTTGAAATGTCTATTCCTTTGCATATGTGACAAACTATTCCAGAGAAAAATGCGAATGATATTTCTCTGCAACACTTGCTCAAAAAGAAAATTCCAAAACTTTTTTAAAACATTATATTTTATGTTTTAAACACGTAGGATGATCTTGCAAGTATTTTCACGAATTATTTCTGCTACCACCTAAAACCAGGTCTAATTCTCCCAACCTCTGAAGAAATAGAGAACAATTGTCCCTGGTTAATGTGTCCCATGCTCCTCAAATTTGAGTGTGTACATAAATCACTTGGGGACCTAAATGCAGATTCCTGTTCAGTAGGTCCAGGGGCCCAAGATTCTTAATTTCTATCAATCTCCACATGATCTGGAGGACCTCACTTTGGGTGGCAAGGATTGAGACTGTCCCCACTTCTCATGTCTTTGCTATTTGAACCTGCCCTCCTTGCTATCATGGATTCACCCAGGATAGGCACCTGACTCGGGCAGATCAGGGCGTTCTCCTGGCTGCAGATGACTCCTCGGGATGGCCACTTGACTCAGAACAAGCTCATCAGAGCTCTTCTCCAGGACTTTTGAACCCGAAGTAGGGAGGATGATTAATGTCTCCATGGCAGCAAAGCTATCTGTTGTGAGGCTCAGGACTGGTCTCTGTCCATTTTTTTCCTGCTGAAAGAGGGAAGGCCAACAGGCCGAGAAATGAGCATATTCACATCCTTAGCATTCCCAGCTCTGGGGCCAACTTCACCTTTGCAGTGTAATGTGAGTTTTGCCCAATAGCCTTCCAATAAATAAGTAAATAAATATGCAAATAACTTATTTGAATTGGTTTTCTGTCACATGCAACCAGAGTGCTGCTTAAAATACTCATACAATTAAGTTTTAAAAAAATAACTTGTTTCATTTGATTCTTTTTTTTGGAACTGGGAAAAAAACCAACCACATTCATTGTAGACTTTATACACAGAATCTATTTTCTAAATTTTTGTTTCTTGCCTATTGGTCTGAATCTAGTATCATAGAGCCTGGAACATAATATTTGTTGACATGGATGCCTTTAGTCATTGTATTTTATTGTATGAGAGGCATCATGCTGAAGACTGGGACCACATAGTCCCTGCTCTTCCAGTGACATAGAGTTTAGTCAAGGAAACAGACAAAGTAATTTGATGTGATGAGATGTGATATCATATACATAATTATAGGAGAATAAGGGAGAAAGCACTATGGAAGAGATTGTACCATATATAAGTCTTGAAGGACAAGTAGAAAAGAAAGAAGGAAATTCTAGTCAAAAATTGCCAATAGACAAAGGCATACTGTTCCGTTTGGAAAAATGTGAACCTTCTGTTTGCCTAAGGCAGGAATTGTAGAGGGCAGGTGGCTGTATTGGGAGGCAATGGGGAAGTACCTAAGCTACAAATCAAGGAAGGTCCTGAATAAAAGATTTAGGACTTTACCCTGTGGGGGGATGATAGTAAAAAAGCTACAGCAGTACAATTTCATGCTGTAGAATATATTGGGATCTATCAGAATAGAAATAAGGAGTTCTGTAAAAACAGAGATTGCAGTCTTTGAGTTAATCAGTTAGTTATTGTGTAAAGTTATAATGAAGTAAAATAAAATTAGCGTCAACTGATTTTTTTCTTTTTTACTACTTACTGTTACAAGTATCCTATCTTTCTTACATTTCTTTACACATATGCAATGCAGGAATTGTTATAACATTACCATTTTACATATGTCTCTAAGGACAGCATATTATTTCATCTTTTCAAAATCTAAGCTGAGATTCTGTCTTACCAAAAGAGTTTAACCAATTCACACAGGTTTAATGATTTTTTAGAAATTATTTGCCATCTTTTTCCATTTCACATACTTTTTGTGTGTCTCCTGTTCCTCTCCTTTCCTAACTTCCATCGAATAGATTAAATTTGACACCGCTGGCTTAAAAATTACACATTATGATTTTTGTCTTCTGATAATTATCTCAACTAATTAAGATCCATTCTTATATGTACTATTTATTTATTTATTTCCCATGGTAATAGAATTCAAACACTTATCTATATTCCCCTTATCCACTTCACTTCCAATAGCAATGCCTTAGCAAGCCCTTGTCTCTAACTGGATTCTGACACCAACCTCCCTCATGTTGGCATTTTCTGGCTTAAATTGTGAATTAATAAATGTTTGTTGTTTTATTTATTGATTATTTAGATAATAAATTTTACTAAATTATTTATTTCTCATACCTTATTATTTTTTATTTATTTTGCTTCTTGCTGGAGGATTTCCTTCAAGAGTGTTTTTAGAGTGTGTATTAGATGGTCTGAGGCTAACCTGAAATATTAAGTTTAACTTTTTTCTTTCAACACTTGGAAAATATTATTCCATTTCTTCTTTCACCTAGGGTGGTTGGTGAGGAGTCTGGGCTGGATGTGTACTTGTTCATCATCAGTGTACAGAGGAGAAGTAAAACCATGCGTAAGAGTGAGATCCCCATATGGAACATAGAGAGAAAGAAGAGAAGGGAGTCAAAAATGAACTCTTGGGAAGAGTCTACACTCAAATGGGGGATAAAGAAAGAGGCATTGTGAACTAGACTGAGAAGGAACAGCCAGAGATTTACAAAGATCATCAGGAGTCTGTCTCCCAAAGAAAAAAGGCTGTTTCAAAGAAGAGGGAATGATCAACATCAAATATTACAAAGAGGTCAAGTAAGATGAAATACTCCAAACTGGTCACTGCATGAAACACTATATCTAAGTTACTAGATTCTCTTTTTTAAAATGAAAATGGATTGGAGTAGGAAGGCAATAGAGAGGGAGATACAGAAAAGAGAGTGGACAAATGGTGGATACAAGTCACTAGTAGCAAGGAAAGAGAAACTGGTTTCCAGATCTACCTCTACAAGGCAGGACAGGAGGCTTAGCACAAGGAAGCTAGGATAGATTAAACACAGGGACAGAGAGATCCAAATGCAAAGGAGGAGGAAATGAAGTCTCACCCAATGAATCCCAACCTATTTATACCCCAGGTTCTGTGTTAATGGTGAAAGAAGTCAGTCAGAGAAAGACAAGTATCACGTGATCTCACTTATATGTGGAATCGAATGAACAAAATAAATTGACAAACAAAATAGATCCAGAGACATCAAAGCATGCAACAGACTAAGGATCCTCAGAGGAAAGTGGGCGGGGGTTGGCGGGGGGGGGGTGTTCAACCAAAGAACTTACATGCTTATATGTATCACCCATGGACACAGATAATAGTGGGGTGAAGGCCTGGGGAGAGGACAGGAGGGGAGGGAAAAGGGGGACATCTGTAATACTTTAACAAGAAAGATAAAATTTTAAAACTAGTTAATAACTCATAATAGAATTCAGTGTTGCCTTCAGAAAATTACATAAGGATGAGTAACTGCTTTGCAATTCAAAAAGAAGCTTTCATCTTTTAAAATGAAAATATCCCAAGTATTTTTCCATGAAATCATAGATCATATTCCTGCCTCAATAATATTAATCCAAATCGTCTTCTCATAAGAAAAAAAATTGGCTATTATTACTCTATTAGCATGTTACTGACCCACGATTTAAAAGTCCCATGATAAGAGACCTCTGTGTTGCCATAGTTCATCAGAATCCTGACCCTCCCTGAAGAATTCAGAGTTATTCAGCTAAATTCTTGGAGAAGAGAAGAATCTGAGATGAGATGTTAAAAAGAAAAAAACCATAACATTAATATCCCATTTTCTTGACTTGCCATATTCATTATCTCTGTGAGGAATACAAGATACTTTTTTACAGAGAGGAAGGGAGAGGGATAGAGAGTTAGAAACATCGATGAGAGAGAAACATCGACCAGCTGCCTCCTGCACACTCCCCACTGGGGATGTGCCCGCAACCAAGGTACATGCCCTTGACCGGAATCGAACCTGGGACCTTTCAGTTCGCAGGCCGACGCTCCATCCATTGAGCCAAACCGGTTAGGGCTTGAATTTTTATTTTAAAGATATTTTCTTACTATGATTCTTTTTTTTTTTTTTTTTTTTTTGGTTAGTTCTCTAGAGTTTCTAATGAGTTCTGGCTAATTTTGCTTTAGGTCTAGACATTCTTAATTCATCGTCACAACTCCTAAAGTGACTCCCTTCCTCCTTTTTTAAAAAGTCGTATTATATTATTTGTCATATAAAACAGCATTGCCTTATTGTGAAGTAATTAAATCCATGGACTCTAAGGTAGGAATGCTGGGTACAGAGCCTGACTCTGCCAATTACGAGCTACTAGATCTTGGCAAGTTCCTAAAACTCTGTGTTCCCCATGCTTAATGAAGATCATATTCAGGCTTAACCTTAGAGAGTTGTGGTGAGGATTAAGTGAAAGAATCTCTGCCCTGGTTGGCACCAAATAAATATTATCTATTAATATTATTCATTCTGCTTTCAAAGAAACCAGTACACTACCAGACTCTTTTTTGTTGTTGTTGTTATTTATAGTCCACATTCTATCAGTCTTTTTTGACATGCTTATATAAAAGCTAATTCTATTCATTATTTTCTGGGCAGGAGTTGTTAAAATTTTACTCTAATAACTTTATCAAATCTTCCTTAATTTATCAAACTACTTAAATTTTTTTTTAATTTATATTTCAAAGACATCTTACCTAATTTGGTGTTATCTACATTTAATAATCTTACATTTTCTTCCATTATTTATACTTTTGGTAAATAATTAAAATAATTCGGTTCCTTTGTAAAACTAAAAAAAAAACATTAGCATTATTTCATCTATTCATTTCATTATGAAATTTTATTAATTTTCACATTGTACTCTACAGAAAATACAAAGTATATGTTCATATTTAGGAAGTTAAGCAAAATTAGAAAATATAGAAAAAACTTCCCAAGTAAAAAATTGAGAATGTATTTTATAAAATGATCTGATTACTTCTATTTTTCTTATCACTTTTACAGTAACAGACAATAAAATGATTACGTAAGTTCAAATATTTTGTCTCATATGTAACACTGATCTTTGTGCAGTCTGCAACCCATAATCAGCCCCACCTATAAGGATTAGGAGTATATATACAGAGAGAGAAGGGTCTAGGAAAGCCCCTTCAGCCAGGATCAACTGGAGAGGAGCAATGGTGTTATTCAGAAGTTTTGTCTTCCTCTTAGTCCTATACCTGCTGCAGGGGTCCGATACTTCCTTTGTTCAGCTGAATAACAATGGCTATGAAGGCATCATCATTGCTATAAACCCTGGTGTGCCAGAAAATGAAGCACTAATTGAAAAAATAAAGGTAAGAAAGAAATGGGATCTTCTTCTGTTTGAATTCTAGAAAAGGAAAAAAAGTTAGTTGTTAATAAATATTATGGAAACTTCTGAATGCTCCAGAAAGTTTAAAAACAGCATGTGCAGTGAGGGCAGTGGGAATTGGAGGCTGTACACGGGGTTCTCCACTGTCTCAATGGAAGACCAAAGACAAGGCACAGGACCTCCCTGATCCTGTTTCTTCATGTGCAGATGAGCAGTTGGACTTGTCTGTTCTTTGCTTTTGTTTTTTTAATTTATTGATTTGAGAGAGAGGAGGGGGAGGGAGAGAGAAATATTCGCATATTTGTTGTTCCACTTATTTATTCATTCACTGGTTGATTCTTGTAT